TACGGGCAGGTAGCCCACAGTAAAGCCAGATCCTGTTTGACTCTCAATGCGGAGCTTCTGTCTCGTTATTGGGGGGATTTCTTCTTCACGTTTAGAGACTGCTGGATGGAACGGAAGCTGCTTGGTGAATATTGCTGTTCGACGGTTACTAGCAATTCGTGTATTGCCGTTCGGGAGTTTGGAGCCGTTCACGGATCTCGTTCGGGAGATTGCCGCTTCCCCTGCATTTGGTTCGTATATTACAGATTAAGCGAACGGAGACTGTACTGCAGCCGGGGAAGGTCTACTAAACGGCGGTTTTGCCTAAAGACACTGGAGGTGTCTTAACAGGTTCCATGTGTTTTGGACCCGCGGTCGGTCTACGTTTGGAAGGTAAAATACACAGAAATACATGACATCCACTATTAACATTGTATTTGCTTGAATCCCCTTGTTCGGTACTTTTATCTCACCGAACGAGGGGCTGATTAGCCCTTCCAGTCGGTAGTTACGGAGCTCTGGAGGTCTCAGCGGTGTTCAGGTAATTGATTGTCCGATTTGAGTTCCAGACACTCGACGACCAAACACCGCTGAGGTTTTCGGCGTATGCCGAACGGCGGCCACCCAGATACATGCACAAAGTACCAATTAACTTGCGGTTAGAGAAGTGTGAAAGCCTAATAAGGTGCACACTTCTCTCTGGGGTGGTGTACTGGTTCGGCAGTTTTCATTCGTATGGAATACTGATGAAAACTACCGAACAATCATACGAATACTACATTCACTTTTAGCTTATACAGGAAAATAAACACAAGGATTGCATTTTTAACACAGTCTTTTAGGACAGCCGTAATACCATCCACTACAATGTACACTGTCACGTCCTAGTTAGCCAGCTCTCTAATGGGATGTACACTGTCAGGTCCTAGTTAGCCAGCTCTCTAATGGGATGTACACTGTCAGATCCCAGTGAACCAGCTCCTTAATGGGATATACACTGTCAGATCCTAGTGACACACCTCTCTAATGGGATGTACACTGTCAGATCCCAGTGAACCAGCTCCTTAATGGGATGTACACTGTCAGATCCTAGTGACACACCTCTCTAATGGGATGTACACTGTCAGATCCCAGTGACCCAGCTCCTTAATGAGATGTACACTGTCAGATCCTTGTGACACAGCTCTCTAATGGGATGTACACAGTCAGATTCCAGTGACAGCTCTCTAATGGTTTGTACACTGTCAGATCCTTGTGACACAGCTCTCTAATGGGATGTACACAGTCAGATCCCAGTGACAGCTCTCTAATTAGATGTACACTGTCAAATCCTAGTAACAGCTCTCTAATGGGATGTACACTGTCAGATCCCAGTGACAGCTCTTTAATGGGATTTACACTGTCAGATCCCAGTGACAGCTCTTTAATGGGATTTACACTATCTAATTCTAGTTCCCCTCCTCATTAGTATGCTGTACACTGTCTGCCATTTAATAGGATATACACTATTAGACCAAACTCTAATTTGAATTATCTGAAGAAGTTAATTCTTCGCTCATTTCCCACAGTGAGCCTGGTTTATTGTAAAAATCTCCTCTTTAGAATCATGTTGCAGGGTCATTGTAAACTTGCTATTCAGTAATTAAAATCCTGTGTATTATATGATATAGCAAGTACACAGATTGTGATAACTGTATCCATCAGATAGAAGGTCTTGACTCACTGTAGAAAAAGGAATTTTTACTACAATGTTTACTCTTAACTCATGACATCTCAGCATCACAGCCTATCTGTCCTCGCCGCTGTGCGCAGCTCCCAGGACAATTCTTTTCTCATCAAACAGGACTCTGTGCTGAACAAGCTGAAGCAGGCATATCGCTGTGTGCCCTGGAATCCTCGTCCCATGAACTGCTGGATCGGTAAGTTCTGCTCTGATGGGAAGAAAACCACCACTAAAAGGGTTCGCCAGAAGTGCTGTGACATGAAATAGTCTAATTTTACCATGAGATACTTTGTTCTACTTAAATGGCCAAGAAATATTCTTTAAGTGTCCTACACTGGGACGCAATGTGACGTATGGCCATGGTTTATTTTTACCTTTTAAGGATGAATTTTTAGCCTATGTCTGAGACTGTCCTGGAAAATTTAAAGTCCAAGGCTATATGTACTATATCGCATAATGTACCTTATGGACCAATACCGAATAATTATTATTAAATAAAAGCAAACATCATATTAAGAAAATGTTGAAAAACATCTTTTGGAAAAAGGTGATAACACTTTATCTTATCTCCACTAGGGAGCACTGTTGCTCTGAATAGAAAAAAATATTAAAGTTCAATCAACTGCTAAGAAAACACAGAAAAGCTTAGTTCAAACACTTGAAAAAATAAACAGACGTGTATTTAAATGTAAAACAAACCCAAACCCAACATGAGAAATACTCACATCTGCAATTTTAGCACATACAAATAGCTAAAAGCTGATCTATTGGCAGTGCTATTTTTTATTTTAAAATGCTTTATGATTCATGTTTGTTTACATGTTGTTCTGGGCACATGGAGCAAAGCTTGCACATTGGTTAACCCCTGCAGTGCCAGACAAATGGTGCAGAGTGAAAACATGCATTGTTGTTTTTTTAAACTTTTTTTCCAGCTTGTTAAATGCTTCCAAAATGTGTCAAAAACAAATAATGCAATTCAGACCTGCACTTGTGTGCATGCAGTAACTGTGACCTTCACCTGTGTGCATGCTGTAACTATGACTTACAACCTGTGTGCATGCAGTAATTCTGCCCTACAACCTGTGTGCATGCTGTAACTATGACTTATAACCTGTGTGCATGCAGTAACTCTGCCCTACAACCTGTGTGCATGCAGTAACTCTGCCCTACAACCTGTGTGCATGCAGTAACTCTGCCCTACAACCTGTGTGCATGCAGTAATTCTGCCCTACAACCTGTGTGCATGCTGTAACTCTGCCCTACAACCTGTGTGCATGCTGTAACTCTGCCCTACAACCTGTGTGCATGCTGTAACTCTGACTTATAACCTGTGTGCATGCAGTAACTGTGACCTCCACCTGTGTGCATGCTGTAACTCTGCCCTACAACCTCTGTGCATGCTGTAACTATGACTTATAACCTGTGTGCATGCAGTAACTCTGCCCTACAACCTGTGTGCATGCAGTAACTCTGCCCTACAACCTGTGTGCATGCAGTAACTATGACCTCCACCTGTGTGCATGCTGTAACTCTGCCCTACAATCTGTGTGCATGCAGTAACTGTGACCTCCACCTGTGTGCATGCTGTAACTGTCTTACAACCTGTGTGCATGTAGTAATTCTGCCCTACAACCTGTGTGCATGCTGTAGCTATGACTTATAACCTGTGTGCATGCAGTAACTCTGCCCTACAACCTGTGTGCATGCAGTAATTCTGCCCTACAACCTGTGTGCGTGCTGTAACTCTGCCCTACAACCTGTGTGCGTGCAGTAACTCTGCCCTACAACCTGTGTGCGTGCAGTAACTCTGCCCTACAACCTGTGTGCGTGCAGTAACTCTGCCCTACAACCTGTGTGCGTGCAGTAAGTCTGCCCTACAACCTGTGTGCGTGCAGTAACTCTGCCCTACAACCTGTGTGCATGCTGTAACTATGACTTACACCTGTGTGCATGCTGTAACTCTGCCCTACAACCTGTGTGCATGCAGTAACTCTGCCCTACAACCTGTGTGCATGCAACAACTCTGACCTACAACCTGTATGCATGCAGTAACTCGGACTTACAACCTGTGTGCATGCAGTAACTCTGACCTACAACCTGTGTGCATACAGCAACTCTGACCTACAACCTGTGTGCATACAGCAACTCTGACCTACAACCTGTGTGCATACAGCAACTCTGACCTACAACCTGTGTGCATGCAGTAATTCTGACCTACAACCTGTGTGCATGCTGTAACTCTGCCCTACAACCTGTGTGCATGCTGTAACTATGACCTCCACCTGTGTGCATGCTGTAACTATGACTTACAACCTGTGTGCATGCAGTAATTCTGCCCTACAACCTGTGTGCATGCTGTAACTCTGCCCTACAATCTGTGTGCATGCTGTAACTATGACTTACAACCTGCGTGCATGCTGCAACTCTGTCCAAAACACCTGTGTGCATGCAGTAACTCTGACTTACAACCTGTGTGCATGCAGTAACTCTGACCTACAACCTGTGCGCATGCAGCAACTCTGACCTACAACCCGTGTGCATGCAGTAAATCGGACCTACAACCTGTGTGCATGCAGTAACTTGGACCTACAACTTGTGTGCATGCAGACTTACATTTGTGTAAAAGTAGTAACCCACACCTACAGTTGTGTGCTTGTGTGAACTCAGACCTGTAACGAGTGCATGCAGTAACGCAGACAGACAGGTGCCTATATTGTTGGGAATACAGAGAGAACTTAAAATTAAAGCCAATGTGGCTAAACTCTTTGCAAAGCGGAGTTGGAGAATGAAATGTAAAATTCACTCTGGAGTTCCCAACAATTCTTACTCTGATAGACTATGACCTACATGTGTGCAGTAACTCAGATATTTAAATCTCTGTTCTTTAGACACTGAGAACATCCTGGACCCGTCCTGTCACAGCCACTCCCTGACTGTCTGCGCCAATCACTCCAGCGCTGCTGATCTGATTTCCAGGGTGAGGCAGCGTGCTCTGGCCATGTACTCCGCCCGTGCGTATCTGCACTGGTACCGGAGATACGGCTGCGAAGATGAGGATTTTGAGTCTGCTTTTTGCACACTGAGCGGGGTGGTGGAGGAATATAGACATCTGGGGCAGCAGTGACACTGTGTGTGGTTTAATTTCAGGAAAGATCTCTCCACCATGAACTCTGTATTTAAACAAATGCACAAGCAGGCTTATACCAATATATTATTTTTTTTTTTTTTACAATTTAATAATTTATATTTGGCAATTTCTTACATTAAACCTGTAACCATCCATCCTTGTATTCTGTCACCTGTTTAGAATGTGTTATTTTCCTCCAAGAATTGAAGGGGGTGGAGGAGAGCTGCGCAGAGGAGCCATTATTTCAAAGTATTTTTTTTAAATGTTTTTTTCCAATTTGTATTTTATGGAGTTATTGTGAATAATGCACAACTTTTCCCAATATATTTGAGTGATATACATACGGTCATATTTATCAAACAATAGCACAGGGCAAATATGCTGAGATAATACAATGTAAAGCTATGTCGAATTGCTAAGGGTATTCATCTTTACATTCTGGGGTGAGTGTCTAGACTCAGGCTAACTCTGGAGTTTTCCAAACCCTGCTCGTGTGGGCTGGGTGGTTCATAACTTGAGTTCAGGGTGGTGTGCTGTGCTCTGGGGCTCAACGCCAGGAGGCAGCTCCTCCCGATAATCTCGGCAGTCTTTGCACCGTGGTGGTGTTGGCCTTCGATCCGCCAGCTTGATGCAGCCTGTGCTAATTTTCTCTTTTCCACCTGCACTGATAACAAAATGTCTCCGTATATAGCCACTGTACAGCCCTCAAAAGTTACAGTCCCTTGCGTTATAGAGTAGGTAATTATGGCATTTCTTACTGTCACATCGGGTGTCACGGCTATGACGTCCCTGGTAAAGCCCTCGGGTGCCGCTGCGGACTCTGAACATGAGGTAATCTGTGGCGGGGTAGGTCCTCCTCTGATTCCCATAGTGGCGATAAGGCTCTGTGTAAATTGTAGTAGCCTCTTGTTGCTGATCGTCTCAGGGATTCCTTTTAGGCGAACGTTTCAGCGCCTATGGCGCGGTTTCCAGTGCTGTCACTGTGCGGCTTAGCCTCTGCACTTGCGAGGCCAGGCCTTCTATTTGTGTCTTGGCTTCTTGTAGCTGGGTATCTCTGGCTGCCTCATTCACCTCCACAACTCACACTTTTCTGTGGACTACCCCCACCTCGGCCTGGACCACCTGAAAGTCCGTTTTCCACACTCTCCAAAGATCAAGCAGAAGTTTCTTTATATCTCTCTTCGTGGAGGGGGTTCTGATGAGTTGCACTCCCCTCTAGACCTTTGGAGTGTGTGAGGTTCTTCCGATATATCCTGTTCCCCTCTGGCGCCATCTTTGTTAACGGCCGCAGCACAGGCCTTTCAAAGGAGAGACTGATATCTTACAAGCGATGGGTCTCCAGGGGTCTTTCGCCCCATCGTGTCCTCTGGTGGTGGGTGAAGTTCCTGTTTGGCAAGTCTCGTTTCTGTTGCGGAGCCTTGCGCAGAAACGTCAGCTACGCCTCCTATTTCAAAGTATTAATGGGGTGCAAGGCTTGCCATCACTGACTTACCGGACAATGACATGAGATCCTAACTCTCCATTTCTGATCCATGTAAGGGGTTATTCACTAAGCATCAAGATTGTGAATCGTAATAGAGAATTGCAAATTTTAATACAAAATACTTGAGTCGCAAAATGTATTTTTTTTTCTACCTAAAATTTGCAGTTTATTAGTTAGCTCTAGGTTTTGTGAATAAATCCCACATAGGGCTGGAAAACATAGCAGATTTTCTGCATTCAGCTACTTTGGTCTAGAGTTTAGAATTATCCTAGTTTAAGGAGTAACTGAAATTTGGGTGCATTGGAAGCCCCTGGGTTTTTATCACACTGTTCCACAATATGACAGAAATCTGAGGAATGATGACCAAAGGTTCAGTGTGCAATGTCCATTTAAAGAGAAGCTCAATTCATTTTCTTTTTATGAATAAAACCAATTGCAAACTTGCCATGCAGAGTTACAGGCACCATTTATAGTAAGTGTACATGTAGCTACCCAGAAAGGCAGCCATGCAAGCCTCCCCTTATGGAGCGCACTATGGAAGTGCTGATATGTGGACTGAAAGCCAGTGGTATTCCTTCTGAAGTGGCAGACTATGGGGCCAGAGACAAAGGAGAGTCCCGAATCCCAGGCAAACTCTGGGGATACCCACTGATTGGTTAGGAAGCATCCATGGCCTTGGGCTTCTGCCAATGTGATTAAGAGCTTGTGTTATAATATTCCATCTTTCACAAATTCTTCAATTTCTTATCGTTTGGAATACATACAGATGGCACTTTATTATATTTTATACTGACAGAATAGAAAAATACCATTTGTTGGGTGCAATATATAACCAGCAAGAATAATACGTTCATGAGGTTTAATGGATTCCACGTAATAAATTGGCGGGGATGTATTGTGACTCTGCTGGTCTCTTACATGGCCATTTGTGGGAATGGAGATTTGTTCGTCATGGTGCTGTTTATAAGACCAGGTTTCTTTTTGACTGGAGGAAGGCGAGAGACCGCTCTGCTGTAATAGTGCTGCAGGAAGGAAATGGTAAATATGAGCACTGTTTAAACAATGGTGGTGAGGAAGTCTATCTACCCCAATAATAAGAGACTCTTGTAAAGGATACATTGTACAGGTCTCTGCATTTTTGGAAAACAGAGGCAAATTCTTCTCACTGCCAGAGGATGACATTTAGCTAGAAAGTCTCCCACACCTTAATGGGGATAGTGGGGTCTTTGAAACAAAAGGAACAGATTTACTAACAGTACTATGATTCAGGGGAAAGGCATAGTTAACAAAATGGGATTTAATAGTGACGATTTCTCCCCATATTAGCGAGAGGTGTTAAGGACTAAGACTTAGAATCGATTATTACAAACCTTTTGCTGGGATCTGTTCTTGGCGCTATAAAAAGGAAGGGCACCGGGAACTTCCATTAACAGTTCCTTCTGCAGCTTGTCGTACTTTTCCTGCTCATCTTCTCCCTGGGTAATATTAAGGAAAATCTAACAAATGGGCGTACAATAGCCACAGGTGTTCTCTAAAGAACCAGTTATGAATAGATGGTTCTCATTGTCTTTTCTAAATGTGCAAAAGAAATCCAAAGCTCTTGTCCTCTCATGAGGCAGAGCAGGTGGTCGCTTAAAACAGCATTAATTTTTAAAAAGAGGTGGGGGTGCCTAAATTGTTTAGCGCCATCCGGCTCTATGCATCCCCGGCCCAAGAGGTTTCAAGAATGATATTCGGTTTTGACATTGAGTGTGCCTTTAACTATGTAGGTGCCTGGCAGCCATTCCCCCTCATACCACTAAATAATAGTTTACTCAATGTTTATCTCCAGTGGTGAATCGCTCCAACCCAGGGAGACTGTCACTGGCGAGTGTCTCTCTTTCCTGTTCAGACAAAACTGGCACATGCGCCAATCAAATGTGACAATAGCCCAATAGAATACTTCTTCTCCTAGAGCCTCTGTTTGGAAGGTCAGCTTGAATGCCAGAGGGATGTTGACAAATTAATTCTTAATGGTGCAGCTTCACTTATAATTGATACTGATAAATGCCTCGGTGTTCATTGCACACTATCCATGCGGCTGAGGAGAGGGGTTTCCAGTTTGACATTAAACAGGAGTGTAGTGCTCAGATACTCAAGGCATTATCACCAGGGCAGCATCTGTAGTGGTAGGTTACTTAGTGTTGCCCCTTTAACTCTTCATGTCTCACTGCAGCTAACGTGTGCACAAGCCGCTTCGGATTTATTGTACAACAGCTTCAAATCAGCAGCTTTATTAAATCAGGAAAAAAAAAAAATTTTTCCTCCTGATTTAATAACGATGCTTATCTGAAACTCTTGTACACAAGCTGCATTGGATTCACTGTACATGTTATTGGGATGTTTGGCACCTCCTAGTTTAAGTGCACCAACAGTGGGGTTCGCTGCTTCCATAGTTACAATGAATTTGGTTGAATACTCACCACCACTTGTCCTTTAGTAAACCAATCCCCACACCCTCCAAAAGCTTGAGGATTAAAGTGATCTAGCCCACTGCTCACCAGTGATAGCAGCTTGTCAGCAGGAATCAGGCCAGGTCTGATACTTCCCACCTCCTTCATTGAGTTCTGCATGTCCTCCGAGATGATGAATGATTCATTGTACCAAGCCTCAAACTCTGGAACGATAAGAGGATAATAACAGATCAGCTGAATTGTTCAGTTTGGTTTACAAACAGTTATCATGCAAAACATGGAGGATTCTAGGAAAATAAATAGTTTTCCAGTTCAGGTCCCAAAATGTATTAATAACACAAACAATCACATTTGAGACAAAATCACAGCCTATATTTTTACACTAACTGAGAATGACTTACCAGCAGCCCACCACAGCGTGACTCGGCCCAATAAAGAGAACCTATATATGTCCTGCTAATAACAGAATCTAGGGTTACGGTATATGGCATGGTGTATATGCAGATTAAATAAGTCTCCAATTCATAGTTATCAGGGCTGGATATAGGGAGAAGGTGGTCCATACAATCACTCTATATATTTCCTGCTAATAACAGAATCTAGGGTTACGGTATATGGCATGGTGTATATGCAGATTAAATAAGTCTCCAATTCATAGTGATCAGGGCTGGATATAGAGGGAAGGAGTCCATACAATCACTCTGTGACAGATTCATCTGTATTGCTGGTTCGTCTGTTTCCCTTTGTTCGCTGGATTTCCTGTTCGTATAACCCCGTTCGTGTAATTTGCAAACTACCGATTGAAACTACAGAACGAACGACCACCCAGGAGAGGAGTGTGCTGCTGGTTAACCTCTTGGCCCCAATTAGAACGTTGTGGTTAACCGCAGACACCTCTCCATTCCATTCGTACGGGTGGTCGTCGTTCGCATGTCGACCACGAGGCAGCGGCCATTTTGGGACACACGAACGCATAGCGAACGGACGTGTGTTCGGTACAAACAAGATGGAACTAAAAACGGACACTTAAACTACCGAACACCGCTGGAAGCTGCTGCCTACCTTCTATTTCGACAAGGCATGCGAACGTCGGTCGTTCGGGAGTTTTTATTCATTCGTATGGACTTTTACCCCGACAGCCGTCCCATGGAGTCATTCGTATACCGAAGGACTGGTGAAAGACTTTGACTCCATGGCGATTCGACTAGATACATCGGATCTGAGCGCTATTCGGTGAAAACATGCACTCAGATCCAGGCTGTCTGGGGATACGTTACACGAACTATATTCATTCGGTATTTCTGCAGTTATGTATTTTAATGTATTTTTATTACTGTAATGTAAAATGGCGATTGTCTCTACCCTGGGAGATAATTGGGTTTCTTCCTAATTATCTCCGGGGTAGAGAAGATGGATTTATGGGTAAAATGGGAAGGGCTTATATTGAAGCCACTGCGATTGGCTACTGTCTAATATATTTTACAGTCTTCCACAAGGTCCCCTCGGGGAGTGTCCACCTTGTGGAGACCTGCATAAATACCGGGCAGGTAGCCCCCATTAAACAGATCTTCATTTGACCCTCAAGACGGAGCTTGGTCTCGTTTGTGGGGGAATTATTACTGGGACAGCGCTTTCGTTATTTTTAGCTGTGGAAGGCGTTCGACTGTTTTGCTGATCGGGAGTTGCCGTGTTCGTGGACTTCGTTCGGGAGTTTGGCGGTCGGCTGGATTTAAACTGCATTTCTGGAGAAGGGGATTATTTACTAAACGGCGGCTTCATCTACCTGGCGGTTCGTGTCTTAACACACTCTATATATTTCCTGCTAATAACAGAATCTAGGGTTATATGGCATGGTGTATAAGCAAATTAAATAAGTCTCCAATTCATAGTTATCAGGGCTGGATATAGGGAGAGGGGGTCCATACAATCACTCTATATATTTCCTGATAATAACAGAATCTAGGGTTATATGGCATGGTGTATAAGTAGATTAAATAAGTCTCCAACTCATAGCGATCAGGGCTGGATATAGGGAGAGGGGATCCATACAATCACTCTATATTTCCTGTTAATAACAGAATCTAGGATTATATGGCATGGTGTATAAGCAAATTAAATAAGTCTCCAATTCATAGTGATCAGGGCTGGATATAGAGGGAAGGGGTCCATACAATCACTCTATATATTTCCTGATAACAGAATCTAGGGTTACGGTATATGGCATGGTGTATAAGCAGATTTAATAAGTCTCCAATTCATAGTGATCGGCTGGATTTAGGAAGGAGGGGTCCTTACAATCATTCTATATATTTTAGGGAGACAGGCACCTTGAAGGCCATTGTGATCCTTTGTGAAAGCAGCTTTAATTGCTGAGTGCACAGCTCCTCAGTCAACAGAAAAAACAGAGCATGATAAAACCCCCAACATCAGCTCAGTGGAGAGAAGGTTCTGTTTTCATTGTATAGAGGGTTAAGGATACACAGGGTTTTGCGTAGTCTATGAAAAGCTGCAGAGTAGATTCTAAAGAGCTATGCAAGGTTCAGGGTACGTTCTAAAGAGCTGTGCGGGATTCAGGGTACGTTCTAAAGAGCTGTGCGGGATTCAGGGTACATTCTAAAGAACTGTGCGGGGTTCAGGGTACGTTCTAAAGAGCTGTGCGGGATTCAGGGTACATTCTAAAGAACTGTGCGGGTTTCAGGGTACGTTCTAAAGAGCTATGTGGGGTTCAGGGTACGTTCTAAAGAACTGTGCGGGGTTCAGGGTACGTTCTAAAGAGCTATGTGGGGTTCAGGGTACGTTCTAAAGAACTGTGCAGGGTTCAGGGTACGTTCTAAAGAACTGTGTGGGGTTCAGGGTACGTTCTAAAGAGCTATGCGGGGTTCAGGGTACGTTCTAAAGAACTGTGTGGGGTTCAGGGTACGTTCTAAAGAACTGTGCGGGGTTCAGGGTACGTTCTAAAGAACTGTGCGGGGTTCAGAGTACGTTCTAAAGAGCTGTGCGGGGTTCAGGGTACGTTCTAAAGAACTGTGCGGGGTTCAGGGTACGTTCTAAAGAGCTGTGCGGGGTTCAGGGTACGTTCTAAAGAACTGTGCGGGGTTCAGGGTACGTTCTAAAGAACTATGCGGGGTTCAGGGTACGTTCTAAAGAACTATGCGGGGTTCAGATGTTATTTTGTAGGAACTGGCTGCTGTTAAAGTGTTTTTGTATGTGAGCAGAAACCTACCAGACTTGTCATTAAAGTAAACTGTACTCAGACTGGTCAAAGTTAATATATATATGAGCACAGCTGAAATGCTGCAGGGTTTCACCTCCCTAGCTTATCACTGGAAAGTACCTCAAAGTTTCTGTAAAGTACACTGTAGCTCTTACCTGTTAGGAGTCTCTGCCGGCACTGGTCTACCAGCTTCTGGCAGTACTGGACTTCCGCCTTCAGGTCCTGCAGCTCCTCGTAGTCTGCCCGGTATTGCTTCTTGAGGTCCTTCAGCCGAATAATCAGCATGAACTCCTTCTCATCAATTATAACATGCCCATCATCACTGATATATTCACCTGGTCAATAAATGGAGCATGAGAAATGTGTCATATGAGTGATGTTAGCCAACCTTGGACAGCCATAACAGGCTGAAATCACTGGGCTAAACCCACCCCAAAGCTCGCAGCCATGGTTGAACCACTTTGGACGAATAATGCAGATAACTTTCACATTACCCAGGCAGCATCCATAGCCTCCTAGCACCATAAGTACCACAATGTGCTGATGTGGAAAAGTCACAGAGAGAGGGTTATTCTGTGATATACTAATGCAATCTGGATCAAACATGGATAAAAATACCAAAATGCAAAACAATTTGCAATTCTCGTATTTCCTAAAGGCAAATCTGGGTGAAATTTGGATATTTCAACTAAATCACTTCTCAATCTGTAGCACATGTTATTCTGTACCATTCAGTGTCTGCTCACAGAAAGAATTACCTGCTTCTTGCCGGTAAACCTGCAGAAACTTGCAATATTTACCCACTGGCATCTCAATTATATTAATAAAATATGATGAATTTAATAAATAATATAAATACATTAATAATAAATATGTTTGATTATTGGGGCAGGACTCAAAATATCCACTCAAAAATTATCCCTCAGTGATTGTAAATTCTCCTGTTACTGGAAATATCCCCCTGCAGACTGTACATTCTCCCCCGCTAGCGTAAATTCTCCCCCCGGTGAGTGGAAACTCTCCTCTGGTGAATGGAAATTCTCCCCCTAGAGGCGTAGGGATTTACATTTTAAGCCCTGATTGGGGGTATTGGGTTCCTCTGTGACAGCTTTCTGCCTACAAACTCGGTTGCTGAGTCTCAACATTCGGTTCCAGATTTCAGACTTTGGTTAGGATGATATCCAGTCTGTATTCTCTATAATCTGAAAGATGTGTTGGAAAATCTGGGCATTGATAAATCTTGAGAACTTCATATTTTCAGTACCCAGAGACTCCCCTTTACCCCTAACATGCATGCTCGATATGAGCCCAACATATTACATAAAATACATTAATAAATGAATTCATTCTCTTCTCACAGAAATGCTCACTGTACAGATTAACATGTAGAATAAAATGCAAAATCGGAAATATTTACCTTCCTTCTCTCGCTCTAGTTTCATTACATTGAGTTCCTGGGAGGTCACGTCGATCTCTTGTTTGATCATGTTTATCCGTTGTGTTATCTCCTTTAGTTTCTTTTTGCGGTCTGATAGGATGCTTTTGTTTTCTCTAAAAATCTTGCTCAGTTCGCTTCCTTTCTCAGCTTTAAATTCCTCGAAAGCGGCTGGTTTAGCAGGAGGCGTGCTGTATGGAGAGAAACAGATACAATGACAAGTCCTGGAGTTTGGCTTCAACGCTGCCATTGGCAGACCTTGATTATAGTTGTACTTTTTTGGGGTCAAATTACACTTTTTAAGCAAATTCTTTGGATAAATATTATCGCTGATGTGTACAGGCAAAAGAGGAAAGGACAGATGCCTATTTCCCAGTGCTCTTCATACAGAGGACATGCATTGCACTTGTCATAGGATCTACCAATGTATGGCCACAATATCTTGGGAAATTTGTCATATAGATTTTTAAACATCAAACTTGGATTTGCTGCAGTAAATGAGTTGCTTAACAGATCTAGTAAGTCAACCTATGAACGTTTAATATCAATACAAACAAGGAATTTAATTGTGATCGAAATAACCTCATTATATAAAATACAGCAGGAACAATATGGAAATGGGCTTGTGAAGGAGCTGGGATTCTGGTAGATTGTATGAGCAAATATGACTATTATTGCCACCTCCCTCTATTTCTCAATGACATTCACAAGAATAAAGTTATTAGAATTTATAAAATACAGAAATATGTTACAATTATCCAGATCACTGAGCTACAACTGCAGCATGCGCATTTATTATGCATTTTAATTCTCACCTGGGTCTGCCGATCTCTTCTTTTCCTGGTTGCTCTGAATATGGGTTATCTGCTGCTCGGGTATCCTGCTCCCTGGCTATCCCATCCCTCCCCTCTAGCTCCTTCATAGATGCAGTCAGAGGTGCAGGTTTTGTTGCCGAAACTAGTTCTTGATCTTGGCTGATGCCTGGGCTTATGATCCCTTCTCTCCTGCTCACGGAGCTGAGAGTAACAGAATGAGAGCTGAGAATAAATGGCGATCAAATCCATCCGCGTTAACACATTAAGCATAAGAAGGGTCATTTAAACTTATGTGTTAAAATCCTGTTGTGGAATTGCTTTGTGAAATCTTTACACATGCACTTAGTTTTACACTCACCGCCTCTGATTAGGCTGGGGGACATTTGTGCAAAGGGTCACCTCATCTGCCACTTGGCTAATGCCAAGTGGACTTCTGCATGAATTAACTAAATAAGGGGCAGTTATAGGCCAAGTGCACAATTCTCACTTGAGCATTCATTGGCATGGCAACCATGCACGGGATAAACAATAACATTGGCATCTCACCTGGCATCCTTAGACTTGCGGCGTTTGGCCTTCCGGCCAGATAGAGAGGTGTTTGTTTTGGGCGAGAACGGAGCAACTCCAATGCCAAAACTTTGCCCATCCACTTCACCGACCAGATGTCCATCTGCATCTAACAAGCCAGTCTGGCATAAGACATAATCAACACATTCAATGGCTGGAGAAGGTATCTGCCAAAACGTTGGCGCACAAGAGAAATATACTTTGGAGCATCTGTCTTCTCTTTTCATGCATTGTGCTCAAAATACGTTAATAAGTATGGGATTAAATTCCCTGTAGGGGTGCCCCTTATATAAAAAAAACAGCACAATGGGAAAAATCATTATCATTATTTTATGTAAAAATGTAAACCAACCGACCCATTTAAAATGCTATCAGTTATTTTTTTTCAGTCAATCAGAACATAGGTTGGTTGGTGACCAGACAAAGAACAGACAAGAACTGCAAAAAAAAATATAAAACAGATTTCATAATTTTATGTGCGGTTTAAAATAAAATGAGCTGAATTCGATGCCTTGTTGTTTGCTTGGCTGTCGAGTGGAGGATAAGTCAATAGTGATCTGATTCTGATTTGACAGTTACAATCATGGGACCAAACAACTCAATTAATTAATGTAATCAAGTAACGTTTTTATCAGTCAACACAACTTATTTAAAGTAGTAGTATAGTGTCTGTTATATGGTTGGCACAGTGATTCATGGCTGGTATATTGTGCAATATAACAGTCATCCATACTCCCACCTTTTGCGCAGCAGATATGGCGGCACTGTCTGTTTTGTCAATAAAGATGTATTTTTGCTTCAGTCTGGTTTCCACTTCCTGTTCCTGCAGCCTGTGGACATATTTTATTTTAAAAAGAAACTATAGAGAGCAGTGGAAGGTGTAATAAAGAAAACACATTGATCTTATTATTGTAATATTTTTTAAAGGTTAATACTGTGAAAAGACAGGTTAGGGCATTAAAAGTAACAGATCCTGAGTAAACGTGTTGCTATATATACACAGGTACCTACCTCAAGATACGTCTAAACTGGGAAAAAACTTCCTGGATTTGCCGGAGATTTAGCATCTAGAGAAAAACAAGCAGATTAATAAACTATTCTCGGGGAAGAAATAAACCATATGTTTTTAAAAGTGTGGCACACTCACCTCAATCTCATCCAGAGTCCCATTCAGATACCTGCGGACCTGAGAATTAATCTCCGTTATCTGGTTCTCATTGAAAGGTTCATATGTGATCGGTGATCGATTTGCCTGAAAGCAGAGGGACAGTTGGATACCAGACAATACTGTCCTGGTTTGCTCTCCACTATGCATTGATAATGCAGATAATGACAACGAATAGCTCTTACCAAAGTGTCGTGGACGGCCAGCTCCCGTTTCAGATGCTCAATCTCTTTCTGGAGATTTTTTACAACTCTCTACAAGAAAAAGAGCAAAGGCATTTTACCTTCTAGGGTTACTTTGCAATACAGAACAAACACACAGCTGTCCATGGGAGTTGCTCACAGGTCTAACGTGTGTTTTCCTCTGGATGCATTCACGTTTTCCGAAGACATAACGGTTTTGGATTTGTCCTTATTACAGAAGGCAGGCAGAACTCCCACAAGCATTCGCACTACTTCCCAGAATTCCCCAGTTTAGTGAGAATCTTCATTGATAGGAATTAGTCACCTAGTTGTCACCCATTACACATGTGGTGCCACCCGGAGCTATACTGTGTAACATTGGATTCATGTAATGCTGTAAAACTCAATGTGGGTGCCAATGTTGTTCTAGGCAGCTCTTGTAGGAATTGGAATATTATTATTATATTAAAAATAATAGTAACTGTATATACTTTGAGTTCTAAAATAACCATTCCAAGTACCGGCTGGCTGAGGGTGATGGGAATTAATGTCTAATGACAGTTGCGGGTCTCTAAGTACATGCCACAGTTACATTATGTGAGTATGATATATTGTGAAACTTAGAACGGTGTGCTTTGGGTTAACATTAATATATTCAGATTACTGGAGAAATATGCCTTACCCAGATACCCCAATACGTATACTTACCAGTGGGTCATAGTGCTCAATAACAACCGACTCGACCGGAATACATTTCATTCTGCTGGCAAATCGCAGGGTGGAAAGCTAGAAATACAATCATTCCTGTGTCACAAAACGTACTAGTGTTATTTTAAACATATTATGTCCCAATTGTGTGAAGAAGATTTTTTTTTTTTTTTTACCAAACAGTTAGATCCAGCTAATGTTAAGGTGAACAGAGCTCAGGTTACCTGAAATTCAGTATTTGTTGACTTCCCTGCAGCTTCTAGAGCAGAACCTGAAGTGTTCGTAGTAACTTTAAATTAATGAAATAATGAAGGTTCCCTCAGTTCAGCTGGCAAACAGTGTTCCCTCTAAGTGCTAGAAATAGTGGACACATATGGACACTACTCCTTTAACTGTTTTCATGCTGGAATACTAACAAAAAAAGCCTGGAAAGCCAGCGTCATTCAATTTCAGAAGTCATTGTGGACATAATTCGTGAACTAATTGACGCCTTAATAAATGAGACTCCTCACACACAGAGGAATGTATTAACACGGATCTTGTTTCACAATAATCTGATCTCTTATTCAGTGTTTCCAAACAAGTCCTGTAACACTGCTTCAGCATTCTGGGATATGCCAGTTCTGTACCAAGGAGCATAGTGATTCCATTTAGACTGATCTGGGTATCCCAGCTCTAAACATGTTATGTTTGGCGTGACAAGTGAATTGTTGATTACAGTGAAAGAAGGTTTTCAAAGCTAATTAAATGATCATGTGAAGTTCTGTTTTGCACTGTGGATGAAGTTGGTATTTTAATATAAAATCTTGTCACATTTATACACGTCAGAGTTACATCATCTTTAGTGTATGTACATAGGCTGCCAGCTGAAATAAGCAGACAGATTCAGGCCGGCTAGTCAACCCACTCACAGGCTTATTGCCAGGAATTCAGGTTATAATACCAACCTTGGAAAACAAATTCCAGATTTGTTGGCTTTTCAGTTTGGTTACTTTGATCCAAATTTGAAATCCACTTTGAATCCCTTACTCACCGTCTCATCAATCTGTATAGCTTCACCATACACATTTGCCACCAGGACTGTGCTGCAGTTTCCACCTGCAATAAGCGGGGAAAGAAAATCTTAAAAATGTCAAGGTTATTTATAGGCTTTGACATTTATACCATATACATTGATAAGTGACACAAACGGCTTCCAAAAAGAGAAGGTCTGGGACTTTTCTGAAAACTTACATTTCAGAAGATATTATAGAATGGAATGTCCTACTCGTTTAGTGTTAGGCGGGCTCTATAGAATGGAATGTCCTACTCATTTAGCGTTAGGCGGGCTCTATAGAATAGAATGTCCTACTCATTTAGTGTTAGGCGGGCTCTATAGAATAGAATGTCCTACTCATTTAGCATTAGCCGAGCTCTATAGAATGGAATGTCCTACTCATTTAGCATTAGCCGAGCTCTATAGAATAGAATGTCCTACTCGTTTAGCATTAGCCGAGCTCTATAGAATGGAATGTTCTACTCATTTAGTGTTAGGCGGGCTCTATAGAATGGAATGTCCTACTCGTTTAGCGTTAGGCGGGCTCTATAGAATGGAATGTCCTACTCATTTAGCATTAGCCGAGCTCTATAGAATGGAATGTCCTACTCATTTAGTGTTAGGCGGGCTCTGTAGAATGGAATGTCCTACTCATTTAGCATTAGCCGAGCTCTATAGAATGGAATGTCCTACTCATTTAGTGTTAGGCGGGCTCTATAGAATGGAATGTCCTACGCATTCAGCATTAGCCGAGCTCTATAGAATGGAATGTTCTATTCATTTAGTGTTAGGCGGGCTCTATAGAATAGAATGTCCTACTCGTTTAGCGTTAGGCGGGCTCTATAGAATGGAATATCCTACTCATTTAGCATTAGCCGAGCTCTATATAATGGAATGTCCTACTCATTTAGCGTTAGCTGGGTTTTATAGAATGGAATGTCCTACTCATTTAGCATTAGCCGAGCTCTATAGAATGGAATGTCCTACTCATTTAGCATTAGCCGAGCTCTATAGAATGGAATGTTCTACTCATTTAGCGTTAGCCGAGCTCTATAGAATGGAATGTTCTACTCATTTAGCGTTAGCTGGGCTCTATAGAATAGAATGTCCTACTCATATAGCATTACCCGAGCCCTATATAATGGAATGTTCTACTCATTTAGCATTAGATGGGCTCTATAGAATGGAATGTCCTACTCATTTAGCGTTAGCCGGACTATAGAATGGAATGTCCTACTCATTTAGTGTTAGCTGGGCTCTATAGAATAGAATGTCCCACTCACTAAGCATTAGCTGGGCTCTATAGAATGGAATGTCCTACTCATTTAGCGTTAGCCGGACTATAGAATGGAATGTCCTACTCATTTAGTGTTAGCCGGGCTCTATAGAATAGAATGTCCCACTCACTAAGCATTAGCTGGGCTCTATGGAATGGAATGTCCTACTCATTTAGGGTTAGCTGGTCTCTATAGAATGGATCTGTCACTGTAATATTATGAGAGAAAGCGAGAGCTCTACGTATACATAATTTCCATACCCAGTGAATCCTTCAGGGCGTGAGTGAGTTTGCTTTGTCGGAAAGGGATGTGATCACGCTTGCGGTCTGTGAGAGCTATGATTGCCTGCTCCAGGAAAGTCAGGGACTTGTTGATGTATGTGGCCTCTCTCAGAACCTGCCCTTCAGACTGAAACAGACCACAGCCAATGACAACAGGAAAAATAACATGAGTTAATTACCATCCCAAAACTAAAGTACAATGCTGTAAAACAGCTGCATGTATCTATCCGTCTATATTATTCATGCTAATTAGAGGCTGACAGGGGAACCAACCTAAAAAACTAAACTGGTAATTGTGGAGACTTGCCAAATGAACAGCAAATTGAAGGCTTACACAGCAGAGCTGTTAAAATACCTGAGCTAGGGAAGGGAATCTTTCCTAACTGCAGCCATGAATTACCTTCCTGCTAGGTACTATTTTTATCAGTTGGCTCAGTCTGTCTTGCAGTTAGTTAAACATTCACAGCCACTGGCAAGAAGAGGCCTTGGTGGCAGTCATTATAGATCTTTGCAGACGGTCAGTCTCAACATTTGATTCTGCAGATACTGGAGAATAATGAATGTTCTAGTGGCTTTGTTAGAAGATGTGCTGCAGCAGCAGATTTCACTGCATATGAAGATCTACTGTTGCAACTACTCGGACACCCCGCTACTACTGCAGACTGTGCATTTAAATCCCCAGATAGAAGAGGATCTTCAGCACTATTTAATAATGTGCACTCAATATATTTCTGGTTCTTCAGATGTACTTTGTGGGATTTCCATACCATAACTGAATGCTTCGGATCAAGCCAATGGTTTTGAACAGAGGTAATATTGCAAAAATGGGACTAGCTTGTGGCAAGTTAAATGGAGCTGCACGGAACACCTGGATTATACAGCGATGGCGAAACTTGGCTGCCCAGGTGTTTGGGAACTATAGTTCTGTAATGCTTTGGGCTGGCTGAGAAGCTTGATGGGAATCACAATAACCTCTCTTTTGTTCTGTATTAAGTAATGAGTCATGCCAGGGGTGATAACACACTTTTCCATGTGGAAATATTTCACCTACTTACCCCGGTTTTCCCCAGTCTCTCAGAACCTGCGAGATCCACTAGGTTTATTTTGGACATGGTGTATTTTGCATCAGATAACGTCCTGGAATGAGACTGAAAATGTGCACTTCTTAGTGATTTAGTTACATAGGCTGAGCCGACCGATAACACACATTTCTCCCATCTGAATCAAATCATCAAGATTTTAACACTTACCGTGGCAGGTGTTAACATTTAAACACATATTACACTTTACTATTCATGGCACAATATTATTCAATAAGCACTGCACACTTTATACGTATATATGTGTTACTTGTTAAAAGGCACAGCTAGGAGTTTAAAACCTTAACCTCATTTGACCTCATGAGGTATTTAATTCTACATCTTTTTTTTAGTGTTTAACACTTTGAACATGATCTTTATTTATATTGTATATACGGTAATTTAAAATTTGTATTCATTTGTCTCCCTCACTTTTATTGATGATTAAATTCAAGTGGCTCATGATTTCTCTTGGAGGAAGAAGATTTCTGATTTTTAGAATGAGTCTTCCTCCTTTATGATAACATTTTAGGATACTTACTTAGAATTTATTTATATATATATATATATATATATATATATATATATATATATGGAATAATGATTCCAATATTTAGATCAATTTCAATGCGTTGATTTCTTTCGTTTTGATGTGAATTATACTTACCTGAATGTCAGATACAGTTATTTTTGTTGCATAAAATTTTGGTCTGGGTTATAAGAGTACAGAAGATTTGCTTTGGAATATTGTGCCCATTACTAATAAATTAAAATGTTTGAATCTGGCCAGTAGCTCACTGTACCTTTTATAAAAGGAGGATTTTTTCAATATTATGTGAGAGGAACAGGTGTTCTATCAAATTCCCCTACCCGTGAAAATCCCCTACCCTGGTCACTTCTGGTGAGGGGAATCAGCTGGATCCTGTGCTGCACATGCTACTAGCACTCCTGCTACTCCTTCACAGCAAGGTCCTGGAAGGTCAGTAACACAGCCATTAACACAGCAAGGTCCTGGACTAAGTAAAACTAGTTTTACACTTTCATTATAGTTAGTGCATGGGACATTTAGGTTAATGTTAGGGTTCAAATTAGGGTTAGGATTAGGGACTTGTTCATATAGTGATTTCTCACACTTTATTTTAACCCTTACCCCAAGGGTTAGGGTAAGAATAGGGTGTGAGAGAGGTTAAAATCACTTACCTAACCCTAATTTAAACCCTCACTTAACCCTAAATGTCTTGTGTGCCCAAGCTTTGTGAATGCACTAACTATAATGAAAGTGTAAAACTAGTTTTACTTACCTTCCAGGACTTTGCTGTGGAGGAGTAGCAGGAGTGCTAGCACCACAGGATCCAGCTGATTCCCCTCACCGGAAGTGAGGAGGGTAGGGGATTTTCACGAGGTAGGGGAATTTGATAGAACACCAGCACAGTGCCCAGTGGATAACGATTTTCCTTTAGTATGGATGTAATTGACATCGGGTCAATAATACAAACAGCTCTATGCTGGCTTTCAGAATAAGATAGCTCTCCTCTGTTAGTGGGCCGTCAGGGACAGCCTCTACAGCACTTTGTTTACTTGGTATTTGGATATAATATGTATTTCACTAATGGAGACTTTGCTATTTCCCTTAGAATTCCAGAAGCGCCTCAAGAGGCAGTCTAGGTCCTGCAACGTAAACAATGCAGTTTCTCATTGTAGGACTAAGGGGGACAGGGACAGTGCACCCAGACCACATCAATGAGATGAGGTGGTCTGGGTGCCCATAGTGTCCCTTTAATATCCACCTGTCATGCAATAGCCTTACCTATTAGTATTATTATCATTAGAATTTATAGAGCGATAACATATTCTGCAGCACTTTACCATCATGGAAAGGGGATAGTTGAAGATAAAGAAGGATCTGATCAACCCAGCTTACAATCTAGGCACCTAACAGAATGTTATCTGTACACACATAATAAGCACTTCCTCGTGCTGCATATCATGGGATTACATAAAGACATAGGCGTGCGCAGCCTATTGCATTAGGGTGTGCACCCTAAAGCACAAGCCGCGTATATGTATATATATATATATATATATATATATATATATATATACACACACACATACATACACACTGCTGTGTGTGTGCTGTGTGAGGGTGCTGGTAGTGTGCTATGTGGGTGTTTGTGTGTGTGTGCTTGTGAGGGTGCTGTTAATGTACTGTGTGTGAGGGTACTGATAGTGTGCTGTGTGTGTGTTTGTTAGGGTCCTGTTAGTGTGCTGTGTGTGTTTGTGAGGGTGCTGTTTGTGTGCTGTGTTTGTTTGTGAGGGTGCTGTATGTGTGTGTGCGTGCTGTGTGTGTGTGGGTGATGTGTGTTCTGTTTGTGTGGTGTATGTGTGAGGATGTTGTGTGTGTGGGTGATGTTTGTTTGCTGTATGTGTGTGGGTGCTGTGTGTGTGTGCTGTATGTGTGTGTGTGTGCTGTTTGTGTGCTGTGTGTGTGTGTGCTATGTGTGTGGGTGCTTTGTGTGTGCAGTTTGGGTGATTTGTGGGGGTGGAGGTGGGGGCAGATTAGTTAATAAATATCCCCCCTCCCTTCTTACCTTATGTAGGGAGGGGAGACCGTGCTGATGCCTTCCCTGGTGGTCCAATGGTGGTGGGGGCAGATTGCTTAATATCCCCCCTCCCTTGTTACCTTATGCCAGGGAGGGGGGATCCTTTCTGCCTTCCCTGGTGGTCCTAGTGGGGAGAGTGAACTCTAGCCTGCGGGGCTAGAGTTCACTCTCGCGAGATCTGAGTGTTGCCGCGGTAATCGCGGCAACACTCAGATCTCGCAAGAGGAACCCGGCGGAGCTGCTGGCAAGAGCTCCCCGGGTCCTCTCCTGCAGGTCGGTGGGGAGGGAGGCTGAGAGCAGAGCCGGCGCTCAGATAGCGCCGGCTCTGCATGAGCCGACAGGGGGGATCCTGAGATCTCCCCTGCCGGTCTCACTCCATAGGCGTGCCGCGGGGATTAGGGTGTGCCCAGGCACAACAGGCACACCCTGTGCGCACGCCTATGCATAAAGATTAGATGCACACAAGAGAACTGTAGCTGCCAGTGGTGTTCAGACTTTGACTTCCACACTCACAGTTTAAAAGCAAATGTGAAATATTTGTTTTGCTATTTTTTTACTACTACTAAAATTAAACCTATATATGTGTTAGCAATTTGCTGATCACACAATACAGATAGAAATTATATTCTCAACAACTAGGACCCAGAGCTCCCCCTGCAGAGATCATCTTCCCAAAACAATGTTGTGCCTCTTCAAAACCTGTTGGGATTTTCTGACTAAACTGGGGACTGTAGAGAACTGTCAAGGGAACTGCCTCTTCTAGGGGAAGGTAGCCAAACTGTGACAAAACCTTGAAAATCAGTTATATTTTCTAGGTTGCCTATTTTGGCTGGATTCCACACAATTCCCAGTTTAGACAATAAGACCCTATAAGTGATATATATGCATTGTTCACAATACTGCAGTTGTAGAAATGTTTTTCATTTTGGTTGTATCTGGTAATAAAGGATATTTCTTGTTAGATTCCATTTATTTTAAAGGGTTAATAGATTTGAAATCAGCTGCTGCTGTAATGCCACACACTCCGGGATGGAAAGCAATGCCAATGCAGATACCTACCTCCAGATGAATGGTAAAAATGCAGTGCGATCTGGAAGAGTGTTTATTCAGAATGTGGGAGCCTATGATCCGATTTGTCTCCCCCTGGAAAAGAAACAAAGGTGACGTTTTGAACTCTCACGTTGGACATTATAGAGCTGAAAAAAACTGCACAGTAAAATGAATAAAAGAAATTGATTAGACAAGTTCCAATTTCATACCCTAGGAAAAACTGGCAAAATCATAGTAACATAACATAACATAAACAAACACAGGGTCCCAGCACAGCTCCGTGATAACCTGTTTACTATCAGAGATCTATGAAGAACAGAAGTTATTGCGCTGAGACTACTTCACTTACAGAAGTGGATGGTTCATCACAGTAAGAACAATAAAGATATGGAGTTCTCTACCGACAGAAGTTTGAAATCAGATTCACCAGACGCCTTTAAAAGGGGCTATATGCCTTCTAGAAAATCAGGATACACTTCTGCAATAATCGAACACATAACTAAAAAAACTGGGAAGCTGGAGTCCCAAAAATAAAAACAAGGGGAAATAGAGGGACAAAATGAATTAATTTAGAAACCTGTAAAGTGACAGAGCCAATTTCTATATTTTGTTTTCTACCAGAAATATTATGTAAAAAATGTTTGACAACAAACTTTGCTCTTTTTTAATGGCACATTCCTCCAGACAATCCCTTTAACAGATCTAACAATGAAGGCAGTCTCGCTTAAATTCTAAAGGTTTATGGTTTCACTAAAAACCTTCTACGTGCGAAGAAAAGTGCCTGAATATTATTGTTTCTCAATGTTTAAACAGTTACTCCAAGCACCATCACCACACCAGTAAATTAAAGTGGTCATAATGCCTGGAGTTTGTATGTGTAGTATTTTGCTGTGGCTGCTAGAGGTGTTCTTCCACCTCCAGTAGCATCATGCGTGTGAAGAAATCCCTATTTATTCCCTAGTTATTCACCTCATTTTACCTTTATTCATTCGATAGATTTAACTACTGAACAAAGACCAACCCTCGGCTCATTAACCTTCAAAGAACTTATCAATCAACCCCTCTATCTGTGTGGCCAGCATTCGTACTGCCGAACGCCACGTGGCTGAGAAAACCGCGGTCATCTTTTTTTAGCCGAACAAAGGCAGCGGGACTTGGTTGTCGAGTGTCTGGAACTAAAATCGGACACTCGACTTCCCGAACACCAGTCTCAAACAGACGAACGCTGGAACTCTAATTCCCGAATAGCTAGAAGAGCGCTATTCGGTACTTTGGTGCATTCGACAGAGGGGAACAATCGCTGCTGAGAGCCAGGGGAATCCATTTGGTACTTTATTCGATTTTTCCCTTTTTCTGAAGTGACCGGTAAAACCCACCAAACTCATGGAACTGTTTTGGGCAACCAGCCCACGATGAGCCGGTCACAGAAGACTTCCACAGTTTTTGAGAACCCCTGAACCGATCTGGGTGAAATTTGAATATGTTGGTCACCCAGATTGGGGCTATCAGGGGACATATTATTTGTGGGGATACCTCAGGTATAAAGGGGTGTTCCAGATATTGGGGAAAATGTGATTTTTCTGCCTGGAGATAATCAAGTTATTACTTATCAGACTTGATTATCTCCAGGGCTAGGGGAGGGAATTGTGGGTGTGTGTTATGTTTTTACTGTGCCCGATTGGTTAATCTCTGTCCCTCCCTGTGGGATGTCCCCTTGCATGGGGACTTGCATAAAAGCCTTTGTGCAACCATTAAAGCTCAGTTCAGTTGTACCCTTCTTCTTGACTTCGGCTGATGTTTGGGGATTCATGTGCTTTACTAAGGGAATTATCTTATGAAGCTATTGGGATTACTATACAGTTCGTCTACTTTACTACCAAACGGAGAGCTATAATCACTGATGCTCTGGCAATTCGGGAGGAAACTACCGAATGAGGTTGAAATATACTTGGTGTGGCGGAACCAACCTCGCCACTATGCACTGGAGAAGCCAGGTTGCCCGCCTGCTGCCTTTAGACTATGGCCCCTGGCAAATTGTAAAAACGTATGGACTTTTATTGGGTGTGTATGGCCCTTTAAGACAGTCGGTTGGCATATTGGGGCTTATGTACATTTTATGGGACTGGTGCTGGCCCTTTAAGCACCTTTTTGGAGCATAGGGAAAATTGGGACACTGCCCTTTTAAGATGGTGTCCCCAGACTTGTTTGAAACACTGCCCCTTTAAGACGGTGTCCCCTGTGTCCCCAGACCGGGTTAAAACCCTTTGTTCCTGGCTATTTCCCACTTGGTTCAGTAAATGGGGCTTACTGGACCAAGTACCACACAGACGGACCACCTGTATTGGGAGTGTGTGTCGGCAATTTACCTCTCAGAAGCTGCGGTTAACCGCAGCTTAATTGACAATGCTGGGTGACCTTTGTTCGTTTGCCGAACACGTGGTGGCCATCTTTGTTCATTCGCACGAGGTCAGCGGTATGTGTAGCCAAATTCATGGAACTAAAGTCGGCTACACATTTCCACGAACACCGCTGAGCCTTACCTTCTCCCATACTGAACTTTCAGCCGCAGAGACTAAGTCCCATTCGGCGATGGGACTTAGTCATTTTTTCAGCCTGAAATAGACCGACCGAACAGCCCAAATCTATGGAACTGTTTTGGGCAGGAAAATGTGCTTGCGGTCAGTCATAAAGGGACCTCCAGCTAACTTTTTAACCCCTGGATGGATTTGGCTGATTTTTGGTTATGTATATTTGAAGGAGATTGGATGTATGGTTTTAAAGTTACAGGATATGTGTAAAAACTGTATTTTTCCTGCCTGTGTTAATTATGTTAAACCATTGTGTACCATAATTATATCACAGGCAGAGGGGAGGATTTTTGTATGTAATAGCTGGGAGTGTTTCTGTAATGTACGTGTATGATTGGTTGTTTTGTAAAACCCTGTGGGTGGTCCTATTTAAGGGAAACCTGCATAAAAGAAGGTTCTTTTGGTGCCAGTAAACAGATTCTGCTTAACCCTCAAACGAAATGTCGTCTTGTTATTGGGGGAATTGGATGGTTTTTCCTGTTCAGCTGTTTCCAGTATTCGTGTGTCTCCAGTTCGGGAGATTGGTGATTGCAGTAGCTGTCTGTGCATCTGAAAGGGGAATATCGCCTAAACTGTTTTTAAGCTCTTGTGGGCAAAACGGTCCGTTACACTTGGTTTCCTTACAATGGGTGTCACCAGTCAACCTAGAACTAGAGTTCCAAGCTGAGTAATGTCAATACTGTGCTATTGGTAGTTTTGTGCACAGGGCGCCATTCATTGGCTGAGAGCGGTCAGTGATGATCTCAGCCAATAAATGTTGACTGCAGAAGCTTGTCACTGGAAGCAGAGATGATCATGAGCCCTGCAGAGACTCAGGTGAAGGGGCAAACCATTCCTAAAGTGTTTCCAATCCAGGGAAACTGGGCTAGGCTACTCCTGGCATTATAACACTGGGCTGTAGTTATTATGATGCCTGGAGTAACCCTTTAAACACAAGATAATCCAGTATGACATACTGTCAGCTGTAGGGAATTAGGAGAGAGAGCCTGGAGATGTTATTTGATGTTTATTGAAACTGTGCCAGAACCCAGACTCCCTGAAGGAGACCAGGACGCAGGGGCAGGGGGTCAGTACAATACGCAAGGGATAAGAGCGAACGACACAATACGCGTGTCGTAAAACAAATTTACCCACTGATCCAACCACACCAGTGGCGATATTACGACCAGCACTCCATACCACACCTGCGACTCAGAGACAGGCAGCAAATACGGATTGGGAAAATATGACCGTTTAAAGTGTAATGGGTAAAATTGTATACGCTAGCATTGGAAATGTGGAACACGTGATGTGGGATGTGAAATATATAATGTACATATCCAAGACGAAAAAGTGTACGTGTAAACAACGTTGCCTAGATCCTTCCCCACCTCCCCTTCTTTATTCTGTACCCCCCATATACTGCTTTTTGATATATGACAAAATAAAGATTGTCAAATTAAAAAAAAAAAAAAAGAAACTGTGCCAGTAGATCTTTTTAAACACAAAGATCTCCATCTCAGCTAACTGACCCCTGAAGTCACGATGAGGTCCTCAAGGTAAGCAGGCCACTTGGAAACGGAGAGAGAAAAACACAAGTTTTACCTTCTGAGTTTAAATTCCTAACGATGATGTACAGACAGGCTCATACACTAGGGAAAACATCAGCAACAGCAATTGGGGTCTTTCACAATTCCTGCTGACATCTTATTAACGATATCAGTAAAACAGAAAGAAGGCCCTGTATTCAAACATCACACGATTCTGGAGAGCAGATTACAGCAATCAGTCAGCTTGAGTCCATTTAATTAAGGTGTAATGTGGCGGAGGCCCCTTAACAAGCTGAAGATGTTAATTTGTTTTTCGGTAATAAGCCTTGCAGGCAAGCGTAAGATCAGGGCACTCATTAACCAACTTTGTATCCTGGTTTTACAACAAAGCACGTCCCTCAATCTCTGAATTCACTATTAAACTCAGACTGTGGCCCCTACCAAATAGGAAGATTTTGGTAATTTAAAACAGAGTAGAACAATTTAAACAAAATACTATGTAACACAAATTCTTGCCTCAAACAGTAGATTTAAGGCTTGCTCCTCATTGCCTGCAAGATGCATAGACAAGCCCTTCACATGTACTCCCTGGGCAGCATCCACAATGCTCATCTGGGTGTCAGGCGTTGGCACATCGGGCAAGGTTGCCAAGAGGTCAAACAGGGCCTCGTTGTAGATTTCCAGATATGAGATCCGCACGATGACTGACTGATCAGTCCGCTCCTCGATCTCTTTAAAAACCTGCATTGGAAAATAATAGGGTTAATGCACTCCTAGTGTATTACTACCTTTATAAGTAGAGTTCCAACTTCCTTGATACTTATCCAGCCTAGTATACAGCTCAGGATATCCCTATTGGCCCTCACATTATTTGAGTCACTGGATTCTCCCACCAATATATTACATAGTATTAAAAATGAATTATTTTCTGAAATAATAAAACAAACTATTATTGGATTTATGCAGCGTGATTTATTATATGTGTTATTAACTAAAGGATTACAAATTCCTAAACCTCCCCCTGGTGTCTTCAAAGCCATCAGTGAGAGGGGTTTATAGACCTGCTGGAGGGCTCTGGGAATAATGCCCCGCTGTTGGTACTTTTCCATTGGTCCAGTCGTTGTGAAGGTCTTTCCTGCTCCGGTCTGTCCATAGCACATAATTGTACCTAGAAAAAAGCAAAATAGAATAACACTATAAAGGCCTCTTTATATAGTGTCTACAGTGCGGGTTTATATGGTGTTGTCTGGTAATAAGCTAAAGTCTTCCTGGGTATTTTAAATATGGACACACCCAAGCAGAAATAAGCTGTGAACAGTCATCAAATTCACTCAATGCCAAAATAACTCAGATCCTTAACTTTTATTTTGCCTTCATTGGGGACTTAGTACAACTACTGTAATGCTCTGCAGTCTGAACACAGTAGCAAAAAATGCTCTGCAATCTAAAAAAAAACCCCAGAGCCTAACAGGACTTGGTATAGTGACTTCAGTCCGTGCTCTGCAATATGAAAACACAGAGTATAACCGGACTTGGTATAGTCACTGCAGTCAATGCTCTGCAATATGAAAACACAGAGTATAACAGATAACCAAATCTGAAAACACAGCGTTACTGCAGTCAGTGCTCTGCAATCTGAAAACACAGTATAACCGGACTTGGTATAGTCACTGCAGTCAGTGCTCTGCAATCTGAAAACACAGAGTATAACAGGACTTGGCATAGTCACTGCAGTCAGTGCTCTGCAATCTGAAAACACAGAGTATAACAGGACTTGGTATAGTCACTGCAGTCAGTGCTCTGCAATCTGAAAACACAGAGTATAACAGGACTTGGTATAGTTACTGCAGTCAGTGCTCTGCAATCTGAAAACACAGAGTATAACAGGACTTGGTATAGTCACTGCAGTCAGTGCTCTGCAATCTGAAAACACAGAGTATAACAGGACTTGGTATAGTCACTGCAGTCAGTGCTCTGCAATCTGAAAACACAGAGTATAACAGGACTTGGTATAGTCACTGCAGTCAGTGCTCTGCAATCTGAAAACACAGAGTATAACAGGACTTGGCATAGTCACTGCAGTCAGTGCTCTGCAATCTGAAAACACAGTATAACCGGACTTGGTATAGTCACTGCAGTCAGTGCTCTGCAATCTGAAAACACAGAGTATAACAGGACTTGGCATAGTCACTGCAGTCAGTGCTCTGCAATCTGAAAACACAGAGTATAACAGGACTTGGTATAGTCACTGCAGTCAGTGCTCTGCAATCTGAAAACACAGAGTATAACAGGACTTGGTATAGTCACTGCAGTCAGTGCTCTGCAATCTGAAAACACAGAGTATAACAGGACTTGGCATAGTCACTGCAGTCAGTGCTCTGCAATCTGAAAACACAGAGTATAACAGGACTTGGTATAGTCACTGCAGTCAGTGCTCTGCAATCTGAAAACACAGAGTATAACAGGACTTGGTATAGTCACTGCAGTCAGTGCTCTGCAATCTGAAAACACAGAGTATAACCGGACTTGGTATAGTCACTGCAGTCAGTGCTCTGCAATCTGAAAACACAAAGTATAACAGGACTTGGTATAGTCACTGCAGTCAGTGCTCTGCAATCTGAAAACACAGAGTACAACAGGACTTGGTATAGTCACTGCAGTCAGTGCTCTGCAATCTGAAAACACAGAGTATAACAGGACTTGGTATAGTCACTGCAGTCAGTGCTCTGCAATCTGAAAACACAGAGTATAACAGGACTTGGTATAGTCACTGCAACCAATGCTCTGCAATCTGAATACACAGCGTATAACAGGACTTGGTATAGTCACTGCTGTCAGTGCTCTGCAATCTGAAAACACAGAGTATAACAGGACTTGGTATAGTCACTGCAGTCAGTGCTCTGCAATCTGAAAACACAGAGTATAACAGGACTTGGTATAGTCACTGCAACCAGTGCTCTGCAATCTGAAAACACAGAGTATAACAGGACTTGGTATAGTCACTGCAGTCAGTGCTCTGCAATCTGAAAACACAGAGTATAACAGGACTTGGTATAGTCACTGCAACCAGTGCTCTGCAATCTGAAAACAGCGTATAACAGGACTTGGTATAGTCACTGCAGTCAGTGCTCTGCAATCTGAAAACACAGAGTATAACAGAGTATAACCAAATCTGAAAACACAGCGTCACTGCAGTCAGGGCTCTGCAATATGAAAACACAGTATAACCGGACTTGGTATAGTCACTGCAGTCAGTGCTCTGCAATCTGAAAACACAGAGTATAACAGGACTTGGTATAGTCACTGCAACCAGTGCTCTGCAATCTGAAAACAGCGTATAACAGGACTTGGTATAGTCACTGCAGTCAGTGCTCTGCAATCTGAAAACACAGAGTATAACAGGACTTGGTATAGTCACTGCTGTCAGTGCTCTGCAATCTGAAAACACAGAGTATAACAGGACTTGGTATAGTCACTGCAGTCAGTGCTCTGCAATCTGAAAACACAGAGTTTAACAGAGTATAACCAAATCTGAAAACACAGCGTCACTGCAGTCAGGGCTCTGCAATATGAAAACACAGTATAACAGGACTTGGTATAGTCACTGCAGTCAGTGCTCTGCAATCTGAAAACACAGAGTATAACCGGACTTGGTATAGTCACTGCAGTCAGTGCTCTGCAATCTGAAAACACAGCGTATAACAGGACTTGGTATAGTCACTGCAGTCAGTGCTCTGCAATCTGAAAACACAGAGTATAACAGGACTTGGTATAGTGACTGCAGTCAGTGCTCTGCAATCTGAAAACACAGAGTATAACAGGACTTGGTATAGTCACTGCAGTCAGTGCTCTGCAATCTGAAAACAGCGTATAGCAGGACTTGGTATAGTCACTGCAGTCAGTGCTCTGCAATCTGAAAACACAGAGTATAACAGGACTTGGTATAGTCACTGCAACCAGTGCTCTGCAATCTGAAAACACAGAGTACAACAGGACTTGGTATAGTCACTGCAGTCAGTGCTCTGCAATTTGAAAACACAGAGTATAACAGGACTTGGTATAGTCACTGCAACCAGTGCTCTGCAATCTGAAAACAGCGTATAACAGGACTTGGTATAGTCACTGCTGTCAGTGCTCTGCAATCTGAAAACACAGAGTATAACAGGACTTGGTATAGTCACTGCAGTCAGTGCTCTGCAATCTGAAAACACAGAGTATAACAGGACTTGGTATAGTCACTGCAACCAGTGCTCTGCAATCTGAAAACACAGAGTATAACAGGACTTGGTATAGTCACTGCAACCAGTGCTCTGCAATCTGAAAACAGCGTATAACAGGACTTGGTATAGTCACTGCAGTCAGTGCTCTGCAATCTGAAAACACAGAGTATAACAGAGTATAACCAAATCTGAAAACACAGCGTTACTGCAGTCAGGGCTCTGCAATATGAAAACACAGTATAACCGGACTTGGTATAGTCACTGCAGTCAGTGCTCTGCAATCTGAAAACACAGAGTATAACAGGACTTGGTATAGTCACTGCAACCAGTGCTCTGCAATCTGAAAACACAGCGTATAACAGGACTTGGTATAGTCACTGCAGTCAGTGCTCTGCAATCTGAAAACACAGAGTATAACAGGACTTGGTATAGTGACTGCAGTCAGTGCTCTGCAATTTGAAAACACAGAGTATAACAGGACTTGGTATAGTCACTGCAGTCAGTGCTCTGCAATCTGAAAACACAGAGTATAACAGGACTTGGTATAGTCACTGCTGTCAGTGCTCTGCAATCTGAAAACACAGAGTATAACAGGACTTGGTATAGTCACTGCAGTCAGTGCTCTGCAATCTGAAAACACAGAGTATAACAGAGTATAACCAAATCTGAAAACACAGCGTCACTGCAGTCAGGGCTCTGCAATATGAAAACACAGTATAACCGGACTTGGTATAGTCACTGCAGTCAGTGCTCTGCAATCTGAAAACACAGAGTATAACCGGACTTGGTATAGTCACTGCAGTCAGTGCTCTGCAATCTGAAAACACAGCGTATAACAGGACTTGGTATAGTCACTGCAGTCAGTGCTCTGCAATCTGAAAACAGCGTATAACAGGACTTGGTATAGTCACTGCAGTCAGTGCTCTGCAATTTGAAAACACAGAGTATAACAGGACTTGGTATAGTCACTGCAGTCAATGCTCTGCAGGATTAGCAGATTACTCTAGGAGGGTTTTAGGGCACTCCTGGCACCATAAACACTACAATAGCTGTATTAGTTATGGTGTTCGGAATATTAATCCACTCAATGTAGGAGTTTATTGTGCATGTTGCAAAATAGGAATTTTCATTTCTGCAATATTGTGTAATAATTTGAAAACAATTACTTGCTAAATATGGTTTTGATGTAACTCTTTCACAAGGCCGTTCCCAGTCTCATGGACTAAAAATGAAGAATTATTGAGACTTTAAACAAAACCAAATGGGTCTACCTGTGCCTGTGATAATTAGATTAACTATTGTGTTCAGTAATTATATCACAGGCAGAGGGGAGGATTTTGTGTGGGAGTGTCTGTGTGTATTGTACAGATTGATTGACTGTTTCAAAACCCTGTGTGAGGTGCTATGTCTGTGGTTTGTGAATAAAAGAGGCTGTATGTGCCAGTACAGTCAGTTCTACTTGACCTCAAAACGAAGTGTCGTCTCGTTATTGGGGGAATTGGATTGTATGCTGATTGATTGTATGCTTTTCCTGTTCAGATGCTTACAGCATTCATATGGTGGTTGTGGTTCGGTGGTTGTGGTGTCGGCTGCAGTGCTTGGAGCCCTCAGGAAGCGCTAGGAGCATCCTTCAACGGAGGTACCCAGTCGGGGTGCCAGGTGATCCGTTACACACTTCACTATGTATCCTGAAAAAATACAACTTTATTTGACTTCTATAACAAAAGGATACAATAGTAGCAGTATATCCAAATAGTGGTTGTAACGGACCGTTTTGCACACAAGGGGTAAAAACCGTTTAGGCGATCGGCCCCCTTTCCAGAGATACAGGCACAGCTACTGCAGAACACCAAACTCCCGAACTGGATACAAAATAGCACTCCAACTCCCGAACTGGAACCTCCCAAATAGCTGTTGGCAGATGAACAGGAAAAGCAGCTTACACTCCTGGCAATCAGTCTTTAACAGCATACAGTGAATCCCCCCAAGAACGAGACAAGGCTCCGTGTTGAGGGTCAAGCAGTGGTCTGAGGTGCTGGCACACCCAGCCTGGTTTTTATTACAGCCTTTCACATACAGGACCGCCCACAGGGAGGTATAAAACAACCAATCACATATCAGTTACATCCCACATATTCCCTCCCCTTATCCTGAGAGGAAACTCAATTACACATACAGTTAAAACATACTTTCTACCCAACTTTCATAACTCTAAAACCATACATCACATTCACATAAAATTACATATTCACAATCAATCCATTCAGGGGAACAACATATTAAAAAATGGCATGAATCAGACCAGGGGTTCAAAAGTTAGTAAAAGTATTGTAACGGACCGTTTCGCTCATCAGAGGTTAAAAACCGTTTAGGCGATAATCCCCTTCCAGACAGACAAGCAGCTACAGC